GGCTGAGAAGAGGGTGGGAGGCATTGTTTTTATTTATTTTTTAGTTTGTGTGTATTCCGTGTTCATTGTTGTGGGATTGGTTGGGCCTACATTTATTTAATGTCCCTGACTCTTTTGCATGCTCTCTGCACCATCTTCTAATTTGTACCTGTCCTTTCTAGAAATAAAGCTTTATTTATTCTTATCTGTTTTTTCATAACTCTCTATTATAAACTATAATGTCCTAGAAGTCACAGGGATAATTAGTTTGTGCACATAAGATGTGATCCGTGAAGCAGTTTAGGTATCTAAACCACAGTCAATGAGAATCATTCCTACAGTCAATCTCTCTCTCCTCTTCCTCCCCCCTGACTATTTAAGTATTTATCCTCAGTCATTTGGTGCGAGAGAGATTCTGTAGTCCCATAGTTAGGGCAATCACCTGAAGCTCCCCTGCTACAGTCACAGTGGAACAACTTCATCAGGAGAGACAGAAGGAACCCCTCATCAGAATATCCCATAGAGCAATATCCTGAGAGATGAAACACCTGTTTAAATCCTTTCTCTCCCTCTAGAAGGGTGTGGAGAATTTAACCTGGTTCTCCCAGTCCTAGGCAACTACTCTAATCACCTGGCTAAAAGTAAAAGGGAGAGGGTGGACATGGGACCACCACTACCACCACCTTTCCTAGCTATATTATGTGGAATAAGGAAGGCACCTAATTCCTTCCCCCCCAAAAGTGGCTTGGACACCTAAGCCACCTGAATGCTGGTAAAGAGTTCCCAATTGTGGATCTACAAGCAGTAACAGGTATTTCTCAGTCTGGGCTTATGTACCTATCTCCACAAGAGGGACTCCTCTCTCATCAGCATCTGCCCCCCACCAGCTATTTCAGACAGCTCCATGCCTGGTGTGTTGGTTTAATGCAGTTCGCGGAAACTTTACTTCAAATCCTTGAGTCAGAGCAACTAAATTTGAGGTCAGAAAGACCAAGTCTGTAAAGTCCAGCTCATTAGCCTATACAGACAGTCCCCGACTTAGGTCAGATCTGCAGTTACGAACAGGGTCCTCTCCCTGGTCTCCAGCAGACCAGGGAGAGAAAGCAAAACGGCGGAACACGCGGGCAGAGGGCAGCCCAGACGCGTCTGGGCTGTCTGCTGCCCACGTGCTACGCGGCCTTGCTCTGCTTTGCTCCCCGTCCCCCTGGTCTGCAGACCAGGGGGACGGGGAGCAAAGCGGCGGAACACGCGGGCAGCGGGCTAGAAGTGGGCATCACCCTCCCTGACTGAATTAACCTCGTTATCTCTAGCCTTATTCTGACCTGCATATTTATACCTGCCTCTGGAAATTTCTACTACATGCATCTGACGAAGTGGGTCTTTGCCCACGAAAGCTTATGCTCCAATACATCTGTTAGTCTATAAGGTGCTAGAGGACTTCTTGTTGCTTTTGCATGGCTACCCCTCTGATATTAAAGCAAATATTTAAAAGGTACATCTTTTCTTACCTTTCTGCAACTCAAAAACAGCACACAGATACCCTAAAAGAAATTTCCTATAAACTGAAACTAAGCAAAGACAGTTTTACCTGGAAAAGAGATATTTTTTCCCTCGAGAAAGAAATGCATATGTTAAAATAGGAACTCGTAATTCTTATGAAACCTTAGTTATACTATAGATTTTGCTTCCGGGACCATAAGAGTACGTCTACACAGCAAGTGTCATTTCAGAATAACTGACATTATTCCGAAATAGCACGTCTACAATACAAGTCTTTATTTTGAAATAATGTCAAGATGGAGGACTTCTTACTCTGGCTCCTGTAACTCTCATATCACAAGGAGTAAAGGAAATTGAAGGAAGAGTGTTCCTCCTTCAATTTCCTGCTGTATAGACAGTGCGCAGCTTAAGCTACGCATTTGATGTGGTGGGTATGCAAGCCCCATAAAATTCATTTTGCAGGAATCCTGACAGACTATGCCCATTTCACAGAGTTGCCTTCCTGGATCTTGTCAATAAAAAGAAGCTATCCAAGTGGCTGTTTTAGAATATTTAAAGGCTTCAGCTTTGTTTCACACAGCTTTTTTGAACTCAGTGATCAAAACACTGAAGCAAAAATGGAACTTTTAAATCTGCTAAGTGGCCATGGGGAAGAAGGGATGCATGCAGTTTGGTGTGTTGATTAGATTAACTTCAGTATGAGTTGAGATCTTCCTGAAAAGTTTTTCATTATCTTCAGGCATGATTTTTGACATCTGGATATTTTACATTTAATTTTTGGCTTCTTTTTTAATAGTGGAGTTAGTTAATTCTAATGAAAATGAAATAAATATTCTGCGCATCTTTTGCAACTTTCACCCATTTTAAAAATCAATATCTCTATCTCTATAATGTTCAGTATGCAGAAGGGAATATTACAATTAAACACTGGTAATAACTTCATGGATATTGTATCAGTCGTGTTACACCTGGGATGAATTTGCATTTATATCTCCAGTTTAAAAAGCAGTGAAAGCCAATTTATGAGTCTGAATTACAGATTTTACCTTACCTGTCTTTAATTAGCTTACATGGCTATTAGGGAGGAGTATGGCAACTGAATGGGAGAAAGGGAATACTCCCGGAGCATTGAATCCTAGTGTGCCTGTTATGATGAGCAGGGAGAGGCCTGACACACAAAGACAAAGGGGGAAATGTGAGACACATTTACATTTAATTTTTATCTCATTGGCTCTGAATAAAAAACAGGACTATGTAGCACTTTAAAGACTAACAAGATAGTTTATTAGGTGATGATCACCTAATAAACCATCTTGTTAGTCTTTAAAGCGCTACATAGTCCTGTTTTTTGTTTCAGCTAGACCAGACTAACATGGCTACATTTCTATTACTGGCTATGAATAGGAAGTTTAGAGGACTTTGGGGATGATATATTTTTAAGAAAACGTGCTTTTACATTTATCTTGTGCAATGCAAGATGGATAATAAAACTATCATCAATTGGAGCTGGGCAGGAAATGGGTTTTGTGTCCCATGAAAATTTGAAGTATCTGAAAATATTCCTGTTCCAAATCAGGATGAAAAGAGAAATCTCAAATTTCTCAAGCCAAAAATCTAGAGAAAAAAACCTGGCCTGAGTCAATTGAAACTTTTGTTTTCATGATTACCAAATGTTTTGTTTGGATAATTTCTTTTTATTTTAAACTGTTTTACTATACCTCACTTAAATATTGAAATGAAAAGTTGTTCTTTACCAGGAGACTGGAGTTTTTGTATTTAGAAAAGGTCAAAACAACATTTTGATAATTTTAAAACTTTTTCATAATTTTTACAAGTTGAAAAATTACTTGAAACTGACCCTTTTCTGCAAACAATGAACAATAATTCATCACAAAATTCCTTACCCATTCTACTGTCCATGATTTGATTCTGGGTGAGGCCCCTGACTTTCCATATATAAGATATTTGTTAATAACTTGGGTGCTATGGTGGCACCCATCCGAACAAGCGCACATGATCTCAATATTGGTGCACAAGACAAAACTCACTCCGCTCGTGGATGGAAAATCTTAGCGAGAACACTGGCTCCAGCCCACTACAACTGCCACAAGTGACAGCGGCAATGGCCAGGAGCCCTGGGCCCCAAGAACTGTCCCCTGTACAATGCACACATACCTGGATTCTTCTACCTCTAGTGGAAGAACTAGTGGCAACACCCTCAACATACATAAATTAAAAATGAGAATTTTGTCCTGCTTCTTAGTGGTTAACTGTATGAATCTTCTAGAAAGAAAGCCAAAGTCCAACAGTGCTTCCATTGACCAGATACTCCATTACTTTCCACTTGAGCAGACTTGGGCTTCCAAACCTCAAGCAAATGACACATTTTATTATTCAGAATTTAAACTGACTTGGAATTATGAACACATTTTGCTGACAAATGGCATTTATTTACTATTATATATGGTTTAGCAGAACAAAAACTGTGGGTCAGGCATTTCCTAACTAACAGTAGTGACTAGGGCAGCCCCACCCATCACTTAAATTCAATTCTGTAAACCCTCCAGCCAGTCATTAACAGGATGTGCCTTCTCCTTCAGCCACTGTTTACTTTTTACAGTATTGGTCAAATTCACACTGTGAAGGCCTTATTAACATGCGGTCCAGATTCCACTTTTGAGAGGGGCCTGTGGAGACATACAACTTGCAAGCCAGCTCACTCTTCCTCTTTTACAGCAGAACAAGGGAGTAAGTGGGCAAATCACAGATGAATTCCTGCCCCAAGCACTGTAAAATTCCACTTTTACTTGGGACTCACTTCATACATTTTAAAATTAGGGGGAGGGGGAGAGAAGTTTACAGACTAGTTTTGGTAGGAACAGAATACTGTACACTTCTGCTGACTGTAACTCCATTATGATGTAGCAGAGGCCTGGAGCACAGCACAGGGCTTATTAGATGCATGCTATATGTAGACACATAGAGATGCAGATATTGTACATGCACAATCACCACAAGTACACATAATGTGCTGTGAGACTCTGCTGTATGTGAAATACGTGGTATATGTAGGAGTAGAGAGTATGTGCCTAAGTCCATTGTCTAGAGCCTGCACATTCAGACACACACAGAGTCCCTTGCACACCCACGCACGCACCCCTCACTTTGTTTACAGTCCGGCGGCGCGGGGCGGGGCGGGCTGCAGCTAGAGGTGCTGCTGTGCCCTGGCGCCGGCGTTAGGCGGAGCCGCGAGACGCCGCTCTTTGCTCTCCTAGCTGAAATGAGGCCGTGTGTGTCAAAGCCCACGTGTTTGGAAAGGCAGGCGCCGCGGAGAGAGGAGACGTAGCTGGGCCGGGGCGCAGCGCCGCGCCTCTGGCCTCAGCCCGCTTTCTGCACCGGCGCCCAGCCGTCCTCCCGCGCCCCTTCCTACCACAGGGAAGGCGGCGGCGGCGGCGAGACAGCCCGGCTCATCCTGCCCCATGCAGGGGGTTGGTTTGTTTTTGTTCCCCCCCCGCTCTAATTCCCCTGCCGCCGGCTAGGCTAACGCTACGCCCGGGTACCTACCTAGTGTGCGCCCTGCTCTTAGAATGGAAACTCCACCCGCAGACATTTCTGGCGGCGGTGTCCCTCCTCTTCCCCCCCAGCGGCGGCAGGTCATTGTTGTGTGGGAGGAGGGCAGCAGGGATGGACTTGATCTTTCGGGTGTCTTGCTAAGACAGCAGCACAGCGTGCAGAGCGGAGGAGGAGGGAAGAGACAGCTTCGCTGCTGCGGCTGCTGCTAGCTACAGAGCCTCTCCCGGCAAAGCCAGAAGCTTGATTTTTAGGGGGGGTTTCTTTTCTCTCTTTTCCCCATTCCTTCCCCCTTGCAGTTTCCCTGCTACGGCAGATGTGTTTGGGGTCCTCGCACAGCTGGGACTATGGTGAAATTTCCAGCGCTCACTAACTACTGGCCTTTGATCCGATTCTTGGTACCTTTGGGCATCACCAATATAGCCATCGATTTCGGGGAGCAGGTAACTCGCCTTTTATCTTTCCTAGACGTAGCCAGATACAGCCATTGCTGGGGTTAAGGAATAAATTACTGTGCTAGCTAGTGGTTTGCAAATGTCTTAGAATCCTTATTGCTGACTGTTGACAAAACACACTGTATTGATTAGTCTCTTTCCTGGGATGATGGCTATACCACACAAGGCTGTGTATGAATGTCAAATGTGGACTTTCCATTGCCAAAACATCCTTAGAAGAAGACTGTAAAATAGGGTGTCTAGTGATCATATGGGTATCCTGAAAGGAATTTACAGTTATCATTTCGATTTTTTTTTTCAAATAACATTGCAGCTGCTTTGCACAGTATATCACAAAATGCTACCTGACTGCAGTAAATCAGTTGTTTCATTTAGGGGTATGAGCTCTCTATCTTTTGAGTCTGAAACCTTCTTGTGTTGTTTTTTTGGAAAGATCTGTTTACTGCTTGCTTGTTATTCATCAGACTTTTTTCTGCTTTCCACCATGGATGTTAAAACATCTGTTTTGAACTCTATTTTGATGCATATATAAGAAAGACATCTTTTTAGTGTCTTCAGAGATTATGTAATTTGGGATTACATAAAGCATTTGTCTGTGTTTTCATTTAAAACTACTTTTCAAAAAAGACCACCATACAGTGTTTTGTTTAATTTGTGGGGATCTTTTAAAGAACTATTGCATGGCATGTAGCAGGTTGAGCTGATGATTAGGAATATTTAAACAGACATTATGGTTACAGAAATATACTGCTAATTGCTGCTTTGTGGGGGTTGCTGGGGTGCACTTATAACTATTGATTTTGTGATGGAGTGAAGGGGCCTGATTTCCCTTCCCCCATACAGCCCCCTTTATCTTGTTTTTCACCTGTTTACCTCTCTCCATGTGGCGTCATTGAAATCCTGGTGCTGCTGCAACCTCTTCAGCACCTAGTGAACCATTTGTAGGCACCAGTCCTTGCCACCTTAACAGTGAAGCAGTATGTTGAGGAAACTCTTACAAGATATTGACACAGACTGAATTAAATCAGTGAAAACAAACAAAAACAAGATAGCATTCTAGGCATTAACGTATACAACTACAGAGAATTTCTGAACTATGAAATGCTCGGCATTTACTCTATAGCAGTTCGAGTTGACTTTCTAACTCTGCTACTTACCTTAAACACTCTTTTTTGTTTGTTTGTTTGTTTTTGTTTTGCCTTTTCTGTCATAATTTTTAATTCACAAATTCAGATGCCATGGTGTGAGAAGAGTAGCATAGAGGGCACTGGAATGTGTCAACTTTGGATGAAGTCAGCGGAGAACAAGTATGCCTGCTTTGATCTAATTAAAGTTCCCCAATACTCTTAATTGATTTAGGGTTGTTCTTTGCACTGGACACCATCTAAAATAAGGCTCATTGTATTTCCTCACTTTTTATCCCAGACCTATTTACTTGGCATAGTTTCTTCTGTAAGAAACATCATTACAGGCGCGTGGAAGTCCCATGCAACAAGTATACTAGCTGAATGCCCCCTAACACTTTTGTCCTTGTGATAAGTAACTGTTATGTTACCAGACAGTCTGGTGCCTTCTAGGCAATTCTTGTATGGGCACCTACTCCTGCATTTGTTAATCAAATATACTATTGACTTAATTAGTGCACTTTCCTATTTACAAAAAGTGCAAAATTGGGCACAATTATATTATAATGGAAAATGGATATAAGAATTAACTATTTGTCCATGTTACTTCATTCTTATTCTAGTTTTCTCTTCTACTTTTAACAAAAAAAAATCTTTATTCTAAATATAAGATATTTGTTCTTGTCTCTCACAAGGACAATTTACTCTGTCAGTTTTTCATAAATCCCATTTTTGTCACCTGATGAGAGAAAACAGGATAGAAGAAAATGATGCAAGAAGTACAAATATACAATTTGCTTTATACAGATAGGGCCTGATTGGAAGACAAGACAGACCTCTGTTTATTTCAGTGCACTTTGAATCAGATCTCTCAACATTCACAAAGAGATTAGAGGTAATCCTGGAATATTGAATGTTCTGTATGCTCTTGCTGCAGCATCCCATTCCCCAATTCCCCTGGGGAAAAAGGGGATTTTGTAAATGCACATTTGTAGTTGTCTATCCAACTTTTTAAAACAGTGCTGAAAATGGTGGCATTGCTGCATGGACATGGTCAACACAGTTTAATTTGCTCTGCAGTAATGCAAGCTAGATGCCTGGTAGAATGAGATACAGTGAAGTGTTTTTGGACACTCAGGGAATGGGATGGCCTTTCCAGGAGTTGGGCTAATCAGCTGCTTCCCAGCTGTTGAGACAGAAGGCCAACAAGCTGCTCACTTTAAAGGAGGATTGCTGCAGGGAGCAGCAAGGATCCTGCAGAAGATTGTGATTGTGAATCAGGGGAAGGGTGAAGAAAGGAGTCTTTCCACACTAGCTAGCTGGAAAACTTGGCTGGGGTTCCTTGCTGTGTAGGCAGCAGGATAAACTGACTGAGCCAGAAGCTGTAGGAGAGGATAGGGAACCGCCTGGTTTACCTGTCTTCAGTGATGATGAACAGTGTTTTAACAATAAGTGCATCCCTGAGAAAAGGGAATGAAATACTGGTACTAGTGAGAACTTCATTAATACACTGGCTGGTGAATTGGTTTATCCTCTCACATTAGTGTGTAAACTTAGGCAGAAATAATTTTATTCTTTTGTTGGTAATTTTTATGATTGAGCTCATCCAACTTTTGAGAAGTCTTAAGAGGGGTAGCCGTGTTAGTCTGTAGCTACAAAAAACAAGTCCTTTGGCACCTTAGAGGCTACCAGATTCATCTTTTGTGAGTAAAACCCACTTCATCAGATGAATTGGGTAGAAGTTAGAGAAGTAGAAGTGTTTATATAACTTCCACTCCAGTTCATCTGATGAAGTGGATTTTACCCATGAAAGCTTATGCCCTAATAAATCTGTTAGTTTCTAAGATGCCACAGGACTCCTTTTGAGAGTCATGTTTGTGCTTTTCCCCAATGGATGCTACATGACTATTAGACTTGTGGTGTTAAGCAAATACAGGTTTTCCAGAAATAAAGATTTGATAAGGCAGTAATGGGCTCACTTCCTGCTGTGGTAATGTTTTTAATAATAGAGCAAAATTAGAATAATTATAGAAAATAATGGATGTGTCAAAGGACAGCTCAGAAAAAGCTATAATACATCCCCTTGTGCATTTATACTTAAAATAAGACTTCTAATATAAATCAGTCAAATCATCATGAAAGAAGTTTTTCCTATGGCTAATACTGTCTAAAAGAAGTACAGAAGAATTTGTAGGTCAGATATAAGATTATTGTATACAATTAGCCTAATAATATACGTTGGCTGAGCAGGTTGAACAGTTCCTGACAGAAAACTGTAGATCATAAGACTTTTGATACAGTTTCCCTATCTTTCGTTTCCATGAGTAGAAATATTATTTGGGAGCGCTGCTTTGAAAGCAGAGCCCTTTGAATAAAATATAATGCCAGTTTTGTGAAATGTGAAGCAAGTGACAATAGTCTAAACTCCTTTTGGTTAACAGAATTTTGTGGGATATGAGAGAGCCACATGATAAAAATCTAAATATAGGGAGAATAATGCAGCTTAAAAATTTGCCACATCTTTTGTTTGTCCTCTGCTGTCACAAGATAATTATTTGGCAAGTGATCTAAGAGAGGAAAAAGAACTTTGTAAGCATTAAACCGTGCAGGAAATTAACAGTAAGGGTTATTAAGTATTTTCAGAAGCCTCCATGATTACAGATGATCTGTATGAACAATATATTATAATTCAGTGTTGTGTATATGATGTCAAATAAGTTACACTAATATCAGTGAGAACTAATAAATACACCCTTTGTAGACTGTCCCAGAGCCCATTAATATCTTGAAGATATTCTCATTGACCTTAAAGACCTGATTCAGCATTCTTTGCTTTTTGGGACAAAATTGTGATTAAAGTCTAATCTGCTAACTTCATCTCAATTTTGTAAGTTTATTTCAGACATGGGCAACTATTTATACTAAAAACAGTGAAGTATGAATACAGAATGTCTGAAAAATGGGGCGAGGGGAGATCACAATACTAGCTTTAGCACATCATTCCCATTTGCTCTGTTTTTATGCTAATTTATGCTTTCCTAAGTACATTAAAACAAATGTTTCATTATGTTGAATAAAGTTTTGAGAGGCTTTTAAGAACAGATCCCAATTTTTTTTTTGAACGCCCTCCTTTTCTTCATGTACTGTATTATACCACTTTGTTTTCACCACCACCACTATTGTCACTTTTCAGCCAGGGAGCTTAATTATTTTTATTAAACTCATTTTACCAATTTTCATCATGAGTATCATAATATTTTGTGTTTTATTTAAGAGCCTAGCTGATGGAGACCAATGATTATCTGAAAACACCAGCATCTATCTCAAGGATAGACAATTTTTGGTCGGGGAGGGGGCACTCCAAGACTTTGGAAAGTGGTCAAGGGCCGCACTTTTCTGTGCTGGTAGTGTGGGGTCTAAGACAGATTCTGGGTACAGAAGGGCACACAGGGTAAGGGACTGGGGTGCAGAAGACAGTGTGAGGTCTGAGAGGGAGTTTGGGTGAAGGAGGAGGTTGTGACCAGAGTCAGTGCATTTAGGTGCAGGGTCAGGGAGGCTGTATGGGTGCATGAGAGGATTCTGGCCTGGGGGAGGAGCATAGGAGGGGCTACCAGGCTTGGGAGGGAATTGTGACCTGGGGCAGGGGAGTGCAGAGGGTTTGGATGGTGACTTGGGGGAGGGAGTCAGGGTGTAGGAGGGGCAGGGGTGCCAGAGGCAAGCTCTGGCTGGGAGGAGTTTACCTAAGCCAGCAGCCTGGCAGCACCCCCAAGGCAGGCTGGGCTCCCTGCCTGCTGCAGACTCAGATCACTTAAATCTGCAGGCTGTTCCCTCCACGTGGCTCTCAGCTCTGAGACGGGAAAAAGA